GGCGTTTGTGTCATCAATCAGAGCGATCCGCTCGGAAACGCAGAAAATGAGCCGATACGTGAAGCCGAGCGGTGATGGATGCCGCCTCGGAGCCTCTGCTCAGGATTAATCCACATTCAGCCGTTTACCGATTATCCTGTTTGCTTCTGCGTCATTATGAGCAATAAAACGCTGGCTGAACAGATTCAAACAGAATCAAACCATAAAACTTCTGATCCTGAAAACATTTTCATCCCAGCAGTTTAACCTGAGGAAGTGGAGAAAACACAGGAAGTGATGAAAGCAGGAAGCAGCTGGAGGTTTTAGTCTGATTTGAAGCAGACCGACCCAAACATGACGCAGTCTGATGCTCCACAAACACAACGGAAACCATGGCAACCGACTCCTTAACCCACCAATCACATGAACACTAGATTATACATCTACGGATTCTCTGACAGGTGAATCATTCAGGCACGAAACAGACGCCTAAAGTCCTGGAATGAAACAGCCGGAAACTCCAAACACTCAGCAGCTTCTGGTTAAATTCAAATCACAAAAAGCTTAAAATAGTTTCAGCAGATGTAAAATAAAAGTTAGATACCAAAAGCATCATTCATAAAGAACCTAAACGATAACTGTTGTGTTTTTGTAGTTTTCAGGATCCAAATCCAGACGAGAGGAAACATCTAATGATGATTTTAGGAATCAAAACTTGGAAAATAAAACTCGGTGCTAACAGAGCTAACCGCTAAGAGAGCTAACTGCTAACAGAGCTAACCACTAAGAGAGCTAACTGCTAACAGAGCTAACCACTAACAGAACTAATCACTAAAAGAGCTAACCACTAATAGCGCTAACAGAACTAGCAGCTAACTGCTAATAGAGCTAACAGAGTTAACAGAACTAACAGAGCCAGCTGCTAATAGAGCTACCTGCTAATAGAGCTAACACAGCTAACCGCCAACAGAGCTAACTGCTAATAGAGCTAACAGAGCTAACACAGCTAACCGCTAACAGAGCTAACTGCTGCCACAGCTAACAGAGCTAACTGCTAACAGAGCTAACCGCTAATATAACTAACATGCTAACAGAGCTAACAAAACTAACAGAGCTGACACGTTAACAGAGCTAACCACTAACCTAGCTAAGAGCACTAGCAGAGCTAACCACTAAGAGAGCTAACTGCTAACAGAGGTAATCACTAAGAGAGCTAACTACTAACAGAGCTAACCGCTAATAGAACTAACATGCTAACAGAACTAACACAGCTAACATGCTAACAGAGCCCGTCTGAGCTCCTGAGGACAGAAATGATTGTAGAATGACCTCATCACGCGGTTTCATTGCAGAGCATCGGGGTTGTTGATGTGTGACCCCGTGACCCTGGAGCCTCCACCCGCTCCATCCTCCAGAGGAACAGCAGTGAGGATGAATATTTTCTCCAGATGAGCGCTCCGGCTAAACGGCGCGGCTGTAAACCGTAAACAACGCGGACAGGACATCAATATTCATCCGCGGTCCTGTTAATGTCGGAGCGGCTGCTGAAAATTTAATCACGCCTGTTTCGCTCTCCCCGAGTCCATCCGTCATGTCGGCGTCGCCGGCCTGAGCGCTCCGTGAGGCGAGGTGGAGAGAGCTTCTCCCAGGAGGAAGCAGGTTAAAGCCTCGCAGGCCAAATTACCGCCATGATTTCATTTGTGTTGGCGAAGGAGAATCAAACCCGGTCCGGCCCGACCCGGTCCGGCCCGATGACAGAAAACAACGCACTGCCGTGAATTTACAAACTCTGCTGTTAGTCCCAACTTTCACTCACCTCACCTAAAGCCAAACATTTCCGCCATGTTGGAGGATTTCTGCGTCTTTACATCCATTTCACTGGATTTCAAACTAAATGTTTTAGTTCGCTGTCTGTCAGTAGAGTCAACATTAACAGCAATCATTTGGAATAATGGAGTTACATTTTTTAAACCTTTATTTTAACTATGTTATTCATTCATTTATAGATGTCACAGTTTCAAACTAAATATTTAGTTTGTGAACATTTATCTTTGTTGTAAATATTAAGCTTAAAACTATTTTATCAGTTAGCCAACTAAATATTTAAAAACCAAACATTCACTAATTTTAACAGTCGCCTCCAGGCATCAGATGTGATGAATGTATCACTGGTTGCACATCATGAAGAACCATTTGGAGATCAATAACTGATAATCAGCTGATTATCTCAGCAGTCAGGATTTCTGCAGAGTTAATATATTTGATAATGTTTGTTTGTTTATGCATCATAAAGTCAGTAAACTACAGACTTTAAATTTAACTTTTAATAAAAAGTTACATTTTTGGACTCTATGAACCTAAAGCAGAATAACAGCAACATTTTTTATTTTTACTTATTTTAAATAAAATTAAGTTTTTTATTTATTTATTCACAAATATTATCTCAGGTTTTCCTGATATTCAGCCCTGATGATCCGGTTTTACCTTCTTAGCAGAAGGAAAACTGATGTTTCTACAAATGAAGGATGATAAAGATGATGATGATGATGATGAAGATGTCACAGGCGATGTGATTAGAAAACCAGGAAGATCAGCAGAAAACAGTCAAAGCTGAGCAGAAAATGTGGATAAATAATGAAAAAGTCTTAAAATCGAAGCAAAAAGTTGATCATTTCATTGGTAGTCAGTCAATGAGTCATTTTGGACCATTAGAAACAGACAGAGCAGCAGGATGTTTTAGTCCAGTTCCATGGAAACAGAATAAATGTTTTAAACCTATTAAATCATCAAAGGGGATAATTGTTCTTATTGTTCTTATTGTTCTCTTCTGTCTCAGATTTTCACAGACATGTTGAAACCAGAGAGACGATGCTCCGGGTCGAACATCTGATTCCTGCAGATGTAGATAATTTAACCCTGGAGGTGTTGAGGGAACCTTTAAAACCTGTAAAACCTTTAAAACCTGTAAAACCTTTAAAACCTGTAAAACCTTTAAAACCTGTAAAACCTTTAAAACCTGTAAAGCCCAGAAAGCTTTGGGATCATTAAAAACCAACATGGGACAGACCACATCCTCACATCCTCACAGGCTGCAGAGCAGATGCGTCTCCTCAGCGACCAGCAGCCACATGAGAGGAAACCACAAACATCCTCGATGGAACATCAGCGACCACATTCCACCCAGTCAGCCTGTTCGCTCTAGATGAACACATGAATGCATGACGTCTGGATCTGAGCCGAGTTGGGAAACCGTTCTGATGCTGCTGCTCACCAACAGGGTTCTGAAGAACCGCACCGTTTGTTCTGGACACCAACAGAATCTGTTTTATGGCTCCGTTGCCTGATGAAATGAAAGTCATTCGATCTTTCTCCGGATGAAACTCTCAGGTTTCCATGGCGACGCCTGCTGAGACCCTCCTCAGGTTTTCCTGTGAAAGCTTTGATCAGAAACCCTGAAACCTGAAAGCCAAACTCAGAACCAGTCCTCTGCAGGTCAGCCTCTGACCAGTGGTGCTTCTCCAAAGCTGAGTTTTCCCAGCAGACCTCGAACACAGCAGCCAAAAGCCATTTTGTTGGTTTTTCTGCGACAGCGAGCGTCTTCGCCAAAACGTTCCCGTCATCCTGGATCAACGCTCAGACCATGCTCAGAGGGTCAGAGGCAGCGGGGGGTCAGGGGGCGATGACACACTTCCTGTTAGAAACCAAGGCGTCTGGAGACTCATGTGACTCTGAACGTTTCACCTGCAGAAGGTGAGAATCGTCTGATTCCAGTTCTGAACGCGACCGGGTGAGTTTCCCTGCTGACATGATGCTGATCTTTGACTTGAAATATTTATTAAAACAGGAAGGAGCAGAAAACAGTGAGATGAGTTCATGAATATTAGATTGTGATGCTGTAGGTTCAGATTAACCTCCTCAGTTTACAGGAAGTTAAACTGGCAGAAATCCTTGAAATGAGGTCAAAGGGTTTTTATGTGACATCATGACATTCACAAGAAACAGAAATATGTTTGTTAGAAACTCCAGAGAGCAAAAAATCTAATGCTAGAAGTTTTAATACATATGAACCATAAACCAATGTTCAGTATCTGCAGCTTCCTGTTTGTTTCAGATCATTTGGATAAACTTACATTAAAATGTCCTTTTACTTAAATCAGTCCTGTTTCTGTCTAAACCTACAGAGTTAAATAGTTTTTATAAGAGGATTTGAGTTTTAACTTGAACAGTCAGGGAGGGATTAATGATTTTTAGTCATTTTATTTTGAAATGTCACGTTTTGCCCAACATGTTTGAGGTGAAACGGACATTAGAAAAAAGTTTATAAAGAATTAAACGATTTATGTCAGGAGAATAAAAGCTGCATCCTAATAACTCTGGACTATAAACCGTATTATTTTCAGACAGAACAGAAACATCATCATCATGTCTCCCTTCGCTAAAAACGAGGCAGCAGCTGAGAGAACCAAACACCTGGACTGGTTGGGCCCAGTTTCCAGCAGAACAACCAGAGCTCCCAGTCTGAACCGGTTTTGTTCCCCTGATGAGTTTAATCAGGGATTGTTGGATCCATAACTGATCCTGCTGCCTGTCAGCCTGATGAACTGAAAGTTTAACGTTTGCACAAAGAGCAGCAGCAGCAGCAGCAGTGCTGCAGCCCATTGTGCCTCTGCTGCCTAGTCAAAGCAAACAGATTCATCTCCAATAAAGGCTGAAGAAGCACTAATGAAACATCCCATTACTGAGACAGAGCCCGATTCGGTTTAAAGGCTTTAATCCAATAAAAGGCCCTAATGATGAAGAAGTGACTCTAATCCCCGCAGAGACGGCGGAGCGGATCAGGAGCATCCGGAGTCCGCAGGAACACGGACTGCAGGAGCTGCAACGCAAACTTCAGGACAAGTCCTGATGTCCTCCAGGAAGCAGCAGCAGCATCAGGACAGTCAGTCCGTGTTGCTGCAGCAGCAGCATGAACCCAGAGCACCTCCCCATCCAACCTGGCAACCCGCAGCCCGCAGCCTTACCTGAGCACTCCTTGCCTCTGCCTTTGCACTCCCCGCTCTGCGGCTGGTAGGAAGCCCGAGCCTCCGGCCCGGCCAGCAGCAGCGCCAGCAGCCAGGCGGACGCCAGGCACCGGACTGCCCCGCCCGGGCGCCGGCGGCACCTCCCAGGGCCCGTCAGCATCATGGAGGAGACCCGAACCCCGCAGTCCGCTCGGTTCGGCTCGGCTCAGCAGCCGCACACGCTTCGGCGTAATTCCTGAAGAAACGCGGCTGTCCTGACGGCGCGTCCCGCAAAGAAGGAGCTCCAAATGCGGGAGAGAGGCAGCGGAGCGCCGCTCAGGTCTGAGGCGGAGCAGGAGCGATGATTCCTGCGGGATCCCGGGTTCAGGAAGCCTCAGAGGCGGTCCGGTCCGGCAGCAGCATCCCCAGTCCGAGCCTCCGCCGCTCAAACTCCGAGTCTCTCACAGCGGATCTGATGTCACACCCGCACAGACCCGCAAACCACCGGGGCGCTCCGGCTGCGCGTCCGCCGCGCGGCAGAGAGGCGGTGAGGGGCGAGACGCGGAGCGCAGAGCGAAGCGGCAGCTGCGACCACAACAAAGAGACCCGGACTGAAGAAGAGGAGGAGGAAGAGCAGGGGAGGCGGGATGGTCACGTGAGAGGATGCAACACTCCCACACACCTCCACGCCTCTTCACGCGCACGCACGCGCGCACACCTTACACACACAGCCAGCAGACTGCTGCAAACCGGAGAAGAAGAAGAAGAAGAAGAAGAAGAAGAAGAAGAAGAAGAAGAAGAAGAAGAAGAAGTGTCGGAAACAGCGGAAGGTCAAAGTTCAAAAAGTTCAAGATTCATTTACTGATTTTCATCAAGAAATATAAAAAAAACAAACAGTGAGAACAGGGCTGAAAAGATTAATAGATTATTATTTATTATTATTTATCAGCCAATTTAGTGATGAAATAAAACAACTGTTGGTAGAATCTATAGAGAAACATAAAAAATGACAAAATGATTCATTTCTCCTGATTTTTGTTGCTTGTTTTGATTTTTACTTTTTTCCTGTAAGAATTAAAATGTTTTCTAATTTAAATTTAATTTTTTAGTTTTTCTTTTGTATTTTTATATTTAGTCTGGTGTAACATAATAATGCATCATTTTAACATCTAAAGTTTTCTTTTCAAAGCAACATTTGAGAAAAAAAAAAAATCAAAAATACTTTATTGATCCAAAAGGGAAATGAAATGAACTGAAAGTTTCTTCAGGATAAAACATGAAAAGTTCTGAGTTTTGATATCTGTGGAAACAACCAAGAGAATAAAAGGTTATAAAGAAACTTCATGAAGAAAGATGTCAGCTGCTTCAGTTCAGAATAATTGGAAACTAAAATGAAGCAACTGGAGAAAATCCCAGTGAAGAAGCTCAAACCTCCAGTTTATCCTCGTTCTCCACCGGTTCTGGTCCAGCGTTCGTCTCTCTGTCTCTGCGCTCCGTCTATAAACCGCCCGGCTCCACTCATTAAGGCCCCCGGCAGCGTTTCCCAGCCGGGTCGTCTGTGGGGCCGTTGGACCCGGCCGGTTCCACCTGGGCAGCCGTAGCGGTTCTCCTGGGGGCCGTCGCTGCCTGCAGGCGGAGGAGTGAAGGCAACGCGCCGTAAATCACCGCAGAACTCCAGCGGTTTGTTCCAGGTTAAAAACACTTTAAAGGGGCAGGAAAAGCAACTTGTTTTAGCTTTGCATCATGTTATGATGCTATTAACTCATCAAAAACAAACCTGGAGTTTTTCTTTCATTCTTTCATGCATGTTTGAGAAGTCCTTTAATCTCCATGGCAACCATTCAGCTGTTTAAACGCCTGGTTGGACCTAGCCCCGCCTTCGAGGTGAAGCTCCTCCTTCAGCTGCTTTCCAAACTTCCACCTCACAGAGCTGCCCTCTGTGTCGCCTTCACTCAGCTCCTTCAGACTAGCCAGCAGCAATTAGCAACAGCTGCTGAGCCCATTATAGGAGCCACTGCTCAGTGCAGCACTGGTGAAAATGCTGTTAAAGGGTTAATAGAGGAGCCATGTTGGGATGACTTTCTGAAGCTTCTTAAAGAGACAGAGGCCCAGTTTCAAGGTGTTAAATTACATCAAATTTCTCTAAAGTCATATTTGATATATGTTGCATTTTTATAAGAACTGAAGGAAACAGTTAATTAATTATTCTTTAAAATGACACTATGTGGCTAGAAAACATAAATCTGCCCCTTTAATGATTTATTTCAGGTCAGTCTGACACCAGAACTCTACAAAATGAATCAGTTAGTATTTGGGCATAACGACCTTCTTTACATCTAAAGAAGGTCCACTGCTACTGCTGTACGGGGGAGGCTGCGTCATGCTGTGGGGAGGCTGCATCATGCTGTACGGGGGAGGCTGCATCATGCTGTACGGGGGAGGCTGCATCATGCTGTGGGGAGGCTGCATCATGCTGTACGGGGGAGGATGCATCATGCTGTGGGGTTGATGCACTTCTTAAAGTAAAGTATTTTTGAAATTTTTAATGGATCCAAAGCAATAATTTCACTGCGATGAAATGAAAGATCCTCTGACCAGGAAGAGCTTCTCCTCTCTCTGCTCTTTCTGCTAAACTTTTCTGTCCTGCAGCCTGATGAATAATTTGAAGCTGGTTAGTTAAAGTAGGTCAGTCCTCAGACTGCCGGTCCTGCTGGACCCGATGCTCAGAGGAAATCACGTCCTGCTGATCCCGGCGCCGCTCTGACTCTTCTGCTCCTTAGCTCACTCATGACTGGACACAAAGCAGAGGAGTTCACATCTTCAGAAACCTGCAGGTTCCTGAAACATGTTGAAAAGTGAAGTCTGCAGCTTTCTGGATGTAAAAAGTTCTTCATAAATAACTTAAATTTACAAAAGGCTTTTAGGGAAATGAGAGAAAATGTTGTGATCCGTCACAAAGTGGACGACAGAGTAAATCATAAGTTAACAGAACCTTAATTTGACCCAGGAAGTAACAAGTAACTGCAGCTACAGATGCAGTTATTTAATTACCCAACATGCATCCACACAGAAACAAGCAGCAAAGTAGGAAAGAAAGAAACCAACAAAGAAAGAACAATAGAAAAACTTTGACAGGTTTTTGTTGCCGTCAGGATTAAACCGGATCACGGATCTTCCCTGAATCCCAGGCAGTTGCAGCCAAACCTTCCTGATCCTGTTTCTGATCATTTGGTTGATTAAAGGACGTCTTCCTGCCACATTTCTTTAAGTCTGGAATATTCTGTCATCCCTAAAAGTTCAGTAATTTCCCTCTGAGCTTCTGCAGCCTCTGTTCGTCTGTCGGGGTTTTTATTCTCATCTGATATGATTTCACATATCTGACACCCAGACAAGTTATTAACAGAAACTATAAACTTTTACTCATCGCTGGATTTCATTCAGTTTTTTAGACGACGGCTTTTTACTTCAGCTGGAGTAAAACTGGTTGAAGTACCGTGGAGCCCTGGTGTGGCGGGTTTGGACCACCTGCAGATCCCAACACCATAAATACTTCAAACCTCCTCTAAGATGCTGATAACTGCCTGTTTTAACAGTTCAAACACTAAATATACCAAATATCCATCACTATAAGAAACCAGCTTAGCGCTAACGCAGAAGCTAACATCTCCAGCCTTCCTCATCTTCTCTCCACCAGCAGCTCGTTCAGTAGCATTGCTCCACTTTGTTTCCAGTAGATATTAGATATCTACTGGATATTATTAAAAATAAAATCTACAAATAGGTGAAATTTCTATGAATCCTGAACCGTGAGAAGCCGAGTTTCCACTCTAATGCTGTTCTTACTTGAGTTAAATTTTTGTACTCAACTGAAAATATTGATCTTTTCCAAACTATCTGCACAAATTCTGCAGAAAAGCAGAAATCTGACGGTTCCTGTCTGACACCGAGACCTCATTCAGACCCGCTGCAGTAACGGACCAGAAGGTGGGGGGGGGGGTCTGGGGTCTGCAGCACCCAAATGGAAAGAGGAGGATTGCAAAGCAGCAATGCTGATTTGATTAGGTTCCATTATTGCTATCTGTAATTGGCTTAGAGCGTTTGCTGTGGATTGTGCGGCTCTGAGGTTCTGTCGTCTCGCTGGAGCTTCACTGCTCAGATTAAAGCAGGAAACTCTGCAAACTCCTGAAACTCAGCCTGCTTCTTCCCCAGCGTCAGACACACCTGCTCCAATCAGCTGAGACAAATGAAAAGTTTAACGCCCGTCCTCCCAGCGGTGCAGGGGGCGAGTCCCGGCTGGTTCTGGTTCTGACTGTGGCGTGCAGCCTTTAATTTCCTCCACCATCTGTGGCGGCAGCTCGCCGCTCTGCTGCGGGTTTCAGATAATCCGACGCATCCTGCCGGGCCGCAGGGGTTAACTCTGCTAATCACCAAAACCATCTGAAGGCAGGAATTAGGTTTTAATGAGACGTTTAATCTGAAGGAAGCAGAGGACGGAGCGGCAGGCTGGGTTCGGGTCAGAACCTCCGAGGTTCCGGTCAGAACCTCCGAGGTTCCGGTCAGAACCTGAGCAAACAGTCTGTTCAGAAGTGAGAGGGAAACCTGCAGGTCGGATTAATAATCCAGACAAACGTTGGGATCTGCTTCATCCAGTTCCTCTCAGCATCATAGATGTTTCTGACCTCCAAACGTTTGGTGAGATTCTCCAGGCTTTGGTTCTGCCTTCAGGTTCTGGACTGTGTTTCCAGTCCAGAACCTGAACATTTTCAGAGGAAACGTTCCATCTGACCTGTGAATCACGAACAAGGTTAACAGATTCAGATTAATTTGTTTTTTAGGTTTTTGTCGACAGTTTGTTTCCATTTCTTCAACAGATGGAAACAAAGATCCATTAAACACAGAAAATGGGCTTTAGCTCCAAAAAGATCAGAAGAAGTGCTGCCTTACTGGTTGTGTTATAATAATAACACTGAAGGTTTCGGATGGATTCCCAGTTAAAGGTTTGGTAAAGGATCTGGACAAAGCACTGAGGAATCAGAGTCTGAGCAGAAATGAGTCTGACGTTGGCAGACATCCATCCGGCAGTTTGAACGTCTTTCTAGCGAGAAGCAGCAACATGATTCCTGAATGCTGTGACAGCTGACCTGCCTCCTCACTGCTGCAGGAATCTGCCTCAACACCCTGAAGGCAACAGGCTGGGCTTTGGCCTACAGCTCAGAGACAGGAGCCTGGAGAGCGTCCATGTTTCAGCCTGGTGACGGGAGGCCAGGAACCTTTTTCAGACCCCGTCATCAAAGAGAGAACCAGGTCTTCTTCCTCCATTGCTGCTGAAAGGGTCATGAAGTGTTGTTGTACCTGACAGAAGCAGTTTCTGGAGGTCTGGTTGGTCTTTACGGATCATCTGGTTCCTGTGTCTCCAAAGCCAGAGGTGTGTCCATGTTTTATCCCGAAGCCAAACTCCCAGCGGGTCGAACCGCCTCGTCTCACTGACCCGTTTGGCAGATCTCTGGACAAAATCTGACAATGTTGCAAAGCAAAGCAGCGTGTCAGGATCTATAATCTATAATCTATAATTCATACCGAGGAGAAAAGCAGCTGAACACGAAGAGGCGACT